AGAATGATTTTCTGAGACACGCCTTCGATTCAGCCGCCTCTCATGGCAATCTTACGGGAAACAATTCCGGGATTCAAACCCACTGAAATCCCATTCAAACTCTCGCAATATCTGACACGAAATTCATCAAATAGAACCAGGTATATATGAATGTTTTGCCAGAGTGGAACTGCATCGAAAATCGATAACTCGAGCACAGTGCGAGTTCTACGTAGTCCCACCGACGTTAAACAAAAAATTATTGAATTTGTTCTATCCAGTTTGTCTCTACTTTCCTGTCTTCATGGCTCTGTACGGGTTTCATGGGTTAATTGGTTCACTTGTTCACTAATTCTTTCTTGGCTTGAAATGTGCAAGTGCAAATCCGTTATGTGATAGGTACTTTCGTTTTATGATTTCTCTTATTTTCATTTGCCGAAAATGAAATTCTTTCACGATCCCATTCACAAGCAGAAAACGTTTATTTATTTGTTTATTCAACTATGAGTAAAATTTACAAGAATTCCGCTAATTATGCGTCTATTCAGGAAATACACACGTCACGAAAGCATTAACAAATAAAAAACGAAAAACACATGGTCAAAAGACAACAATTTAACATCATTACTGCTACTAAGTAGAACGCTTCATTCTTAAACGCTACGCAAGGGTTATGTTAATGCCACGGAAAGCAAAAAACGCAATTTGCACAATAAATTCTACTGCTGTCTTACTCGGTAGCTGGCTGCTGACCGACGTTGGCTGAAAGTTTCTCAGACGCGATATGGTGGTTACCAATGGCGCCGATTTTATCCGTGAAAGCCGCGGGCTGCTGACCGTTGGGTCCGTCGGTTTTGTGGTTCGAATGCGAAGAGTTGGTCAGATTTGGGCTTTTCGGTCGTGAAATGTGCACACCCTCTTCTTCCAAGTGCTTTCGAGTTAGAAAGCCCCTGAAGAAATGCAATGAAACACTTTTCGAAACATGAATCTACTATAAAAACGACGCTAAGTTACAAACTCAAACGAAGACTGCAAACAAAGGCATGGGCTTCGCGAAAAGCATGTTTCAGCACAATCGTACGAGACAATACTCGTGCAAATATTCACAGCTCAACAAAGCGTTAGGCGTAGTTTCGAAAGCTCCCCAGAACCATGGTAGAACTAATGAATTTGCACGGGCACCAATGGCCGTTATGGAAATTTAATTCTCGTTACGGACACGAATCTACGTGCAAGATAGACAATCTTATTCGAAAAATACTTCACAGAATGACAGGAAATAAATCGAAGTGCAGTTAAAGAGACTGCTGTTTCACTTAGGGTTGTTTTTGGACGAAACCGTAACATTATATTACCCAAAAAAATCTTACAACAGTTTTGAACCTGAACGAAACAGACACCCTTCCCTCAACCGTGAAATCCTTATGAGAAAACAGATTTACTTGTATAAAGAAATCAACAATGTTTTAAAATCATATTCTCATTCCCTTATTTGCATTTTTCGTATTATTCTTTCAGTTTACAATCTTTCTTCTTCTTCGTCTAAGGTTATATTCTGATTCCTTCGTTTTTTCATTCTCCTATAACTGCTGTTAGTTGCTTTATTACCCTCTTCTTCTGTTTCATTCATTGGTGTTAACATGGTTCAACGGCATTAACTGGGACTAGCACCTCACACTGGGCAAGGTCGCTACGTTGTCCACTTTCCCTGGAACTCGATGAGATCAGTTATGAACAGGTTTCGACAATTTCAAAACGCCAATACATTATCCATTTGCTTTAATTTCTACTAACTCCATGTCGAAAAAGTACAGACTCAATCAACGTACCTCACACCAGCTTGGATGAGCGCCGCCGCTTCGTCGGGCGACGCCAAAGGATGGTTCGCAGAAGAATTGTCAGCCACGGCAGTGGACAGACTCGGCGCAGGGTGTTGTTGCTTCAGCGATGCCGCCATCGAGTCATGAGAGCCTTTCGCACCGACTTCCGCTGTCTTCTCTTCAGGATGCGTCAGTTTTGAAATGTGCATGATCTTCTCTTCACCTGATCCATGAGAAGAATCGTCTCTATAAAATAAAATATGCGCTAACCGTCGTTTGGAAGAATCGCTAAGCGGAATACCGTCATACATCCACATAAAAATACCTTAGGCATTTTGAATGAGGTAGAAACCTACGTTACACACGAGCCTTAAAAAATGAAGACGAAATATACTTACTTCGGCTGAACTTTGTCACCGGGACCAAATCCACCGCTACCGCCGGATATATTAGGCTGGTTTTTCGCCCCGAAAATGCTGTTTAACATCGCACTTTGCACCAGGTTCAAGCTGCATACCTAACAGTCAATCCATGCTGAAGATCATAGTGGCATTCAAAACAAAAGTTTACTGAAGAACCTAACAGAAATTCATCAACAGCTAAAAACAATGGTCATTAACATATTAATAAACATACTGTTAAACATTCGAGAAGTTCTTAACGGAACGACAGTTCACAATGTTACCTGACTATCGCGCATACAGTAGGCCGCGGTGTCAATATTGTTTGAAAAATCTTCTATAGGGAGGTAATAGGTCTTTGGAGTCCGTTGTTGGCAGACGGAAAACAAGAAAATAGTTTTATTCTCGGCATCGGTCATAACCAGGGAATAAAAACGAAGTAAA